TCCATTAACTATCCTCCTTCCACCCAATAACCGCCCCCCCCCCCCCCCCCCCCCCCCCCCCACCACTCCCACCCCCACCAGGGTTGTAGTTTATAGGGGAGATGGAGTTGAAGAGTCTCGCTGCCCATTAATGAATTTTGATGAAAGAGAAATATCGTGTCCACGGCCGTTTCCATGCATTTGTCAGATGTCTGTATGTTAACACCGGGTGTTCGTGTTTTCTCTCTGTAAGTTGGTGAATTTGTGTAGCCACCTGTCTCGCTGCAGCGGAGGGATCAAAGGCCGGGACATTACTCTATGACATCTGGCTCTTTCCCCCGGCGTGAAGGGTTTGTTTTGGGAATGTTTCCACAGCTGATGTGGCCCCGTGTTTTAACTCCTGTTCCTCACTGAGCTGTCGCCTTGCCTCTGGTTGCAGGGTTTATTGCAGTTAAGCATCGCTGGGATGTACACGGCAAACGGGCTCCAATGGCGTCTGCGGAGTGCTATCACCCCCTGCAAGTGAGGAGCACCGAAGCCGGTGACATAACCCTCGGCTCCCGGCTGGAGTTGAGAGGGAACGGCGGCTGGAGCCGGGAGCTTTCAGGACCGCGGACAGCTCCGCGACTCAGCGGCGAGCAGGAGACCTCGTTCAGCAACTCACCCGCGACCAACGACACGGGGCACGGGGCGGGGGCTGTGCCCCCCCACAGCAACCGGGACAGAACCCAGGAGACGTCGCCCCGCTCCGAGGAGGAGCCGGAGTCCGAGGGGGCTACCCAGTCGGTTGATTATGGCTTCACAGTGGCGCTGGTGTTCCTTGTGGCCGGTATCACGTTGGTGGTTATCGCCTATGCCATCCCGAGGGAGTCTAAGGTGGATCCGGACACGGTGACAGCCCGGGAGATGGAGAGGCTAGAATTACATTACGCCTTGTTAGGGTCTCACTTGGACAAATGCATCATCGCCGGCTTGGGGCTGCTGACCCTGGGAGGCATGCTGCTATCCTTATTACTCATGGTCTCTATCTGCAAAGGTGAGTTGTACGGGAGAAGGAACTTTATGGTCAGTGGCAGAGCCAGAAAGACCTATGGGTCCATAAACCTGAGAATGAGACCCACAGACGGCGAGGGACATCAATCCCTGGTGGAGTCTGAAGTTCTGCAACCCTCGGAGAATGTCAGCCAGACCGGCTCCTGAACAAACTCTGTCTGCTAGCTGCAAATATCCTTCCTGTGAGAGCTATCCTAGACAGCCCTTATCCAGAGAGTATTTAAGCATGTGTTTGTTCACGGATTGTGCGATAGAGTGCATCGCAACACACTCCGCAAAGAGCCAATGAACCGAATTTCAAACTTTGGCTTCTTCTTGAACCTCAGCCCCAGTCTACGGGAGCCAGTCCCTGTCCAGGGAGAAGTTGGGCTAAAATTTATGTTGACTGTCGGGATGTATGAAAAAGTCCGGGTGTGGGGGTGGGACGGGAGGTGTCACCACCTACTAGTCCTGCACATATGAGTAACTCTGCAACTCTGCCTCAAACATTGAATTGGTTGGGCAGCTTAACACAATGCAGCATTACTACAACATAGAACATGTCCTAAATCCGGTACAGAATGCACCCCAGGCTGATAGAATGCTAAACAGAATGAATCCCACACGGGCTAAATAATAGAAAGTTTAAATTCCAAACAGATTCGAACCTACACAGACGTGCCAGAGTAACAACGCTCCACACAGGTTGGATTGTGCTGCAACTACATTCTGTGTAGATAGAATTCCATAGAAAGGCATTTCAGGTAGACTGCATCTCACATAGACTGGACCCCACAGCAATGATGTCTCACACAGACTGAATCCCATATAGTTTCAAGCAAACAGAAGCTAACACAATCTGAACACCACACAGACTGGATCCTACACAGAGTGCGCACACTATGTACAGAGTCTTGCATGCAAAGGGCCTCCACAAAATATTGCTGGCACTCTAACTTAAAGTGTGGTCCAGTATATTGTGTTACAATGTAATACAAATCTCTTATTTGATGCAAGTATTTAGAGGCTGAATTAGCATTTTAAACATTGATATGTAAATTGGCAGGTATGGAATTATGATGATATTTTTAAAAAATGTGTAATGGAACAAAAATTTATAGTATTCAAAATAATCTTTATGTAAGATAACTCAATGCAGGTAAGTTGTAACTCTAGTGTAGCGACAGAGGGGAATTTTTATGGGATTTTCCCCATTGTTCTGAAGAAGAATAATTGAAAGTTTGGTAAAATTAAATAAAATGAGACTTTGGTGGTAAAGTTTCATCAAGCAAGTGGGAGATCTTCATAGAAAATCAGCCCCAGTGTGCCAGGCAGACCAGAAGGTTCCAGGTTCAGTCCTCACGATCTGTGCTGAGTTGGTCAATCTCATTTAGGGTGGGACCAGTTCACAAGACCATGATATTGTGTTGAAAATAATTCATTCTCATGTTTTTGAGTATCTCTGGCCACACTAGCATTTATTTCCTGTTCACTTGAGAAGTTTGCTGACCTGTATCCTTCCTGAAAAACTGCAAATTTTTTGTGGAAGTGTTCTCACAATGCTGCTAGGCATGAAGTTCCAGAATATTTCAATGAAGGATTGATAAGGATCACCATTTGGTCCATCCTAGCTTACTTGCCTAGGAAAATCCAAACAGTCCAGTATCCACCAGTTACTTCAACAATTTGTTTTTCATTTTGCAGTTATGATTCTTCCTGGAAACCATTTTATCTATTGACCAAGTTTCTGTGAAGTTTAACTTCCTAACATATGTCATCTGTCATAACATTGAATCTGCCCACTTTACCTCACCGTTGTATTTAATCTGAAGTCATGTATGATTACTTTCTGTAATTACATTCTATATAGGGCAGCACAGTGGCTCAGTGGTTAGCACTGCTGCCTCACAGCACCAGGGACCTGGGTTCAATTCCACCCTTAGGTGTCCGTGTGGAGTTTGCACATTCTCCCTGTGCCCGTGTGGGTTTCTTTCAGGTGCTCTGGTTTCCTCCCACAGTCCAAAGATGAGCAGGCTAGGTGGATTAGCCATGCTAAATTGCCCATAGTGTTCAGGGATGTGTAGATTAGAGAGGATGGGTCTGGGTGGGATGCCCTGAGAGTCAGTGTGGACTTGTTGGGCTGAAGGGCCTGTCTCCACACTGTAGGGATTCTATGATGATGATATCATTTACAGAACCATCTTCTACACAGCTTTAACCTAAGGATTTGTCTTTTAGCTGTACCCCATAGTGTACTTCCTTTGGTTTCCATTAGCATTCCACAAGTAGTTTGATTGCTCTTGGGATAGAAAAGAGCCAAGATTTCAGCTTTTGAATTCAATCCAGTGATCCCACCCCCTAGCTGAAAACTCCAACCCCCTATGCTCGGTTGTTCATGCTCACACATAATAAATGATCACTTTGAAGAGACACAGGCTTCTAGAAGCATCACTTTTAAGAGAGAAGGAAATAAACTGAAAATTTCACAAAACTGTTTGTTTAAGACTTGTTATAATGTTACTTCACATAGTGAGTTGGCAGCCTTTACAGCATTTATAGCGATGTTTTGTTCCTTTTATTTAAAATATAGAACTTTGCAGAAGATCGTAACCCTTCAAAATGATACATTATATAGATTTTAGTTTTTAATTATTTAATAAATCCATATTTCAGTAAGTGTAATATATAAAAACTCTAAGGTGTGTAATTGACCTGAGGTCATCTTGCTTTTAGAAAATTTCAGTATATGCTGTACAACAAATGGACTCTATACCAAAATGTATTGTTATATTCTGCTGTCTGTTACATATCATAGGGCTTCTAAACAGACTGTTAGCAGGTAGAAGATTGAGTTTTTTTTAACTTTTTTAATGGTGCAATATTTCTGATGTGTAAATTTCTGAAGCATACATTGCCCAGAGGAAAGAGCAAAGTGTTCTCTTGTAGTAAGTGGCAGTGTGCTTTTGATAAAATACTGCAAGTTCTAAGCTGCAGGTTTTGTCATATGCTTGAAAATTGTTGTAATTATTTGAAGTTTATTCATATGTTCTTTATGTTTCTCTGCATAATCACTTTCTAATCACTTTTTAATCAACATACATTGTATATTCAGTATTCTGCTGTGCCTACAAAAACTATGAGACAATAAAAATAAAAACAGAAGAATCTATTGGCATGACTTTTCCATTTCTTGGTCAATTCAGTTTTATCGAGGTGCAATAGGATGAAGTCAGGAAAATAAATTTTCTTTCAATTGCTTGCTTTGCAAATCACCATTAAATTATCAGGCAATGTTCTGTTGGTAAAACTTTTATCTCCAAGTCACAAGGTTATGGATTCAAGTTGAAAATCTAGGTCAATATTCCAGCAGTCTTTGGATGAGACATTATACCAAGGTTCCACTTACCCTTTGAATGTAAAAGATCACATGGCACTATTTCGAAGAAGAGCAGGAGAATATGACTAAAAATCCTGGCCAATATTTATCCATCAATCCACATCACTAAAACAGACAATCTGGTAATTAATACACTGCAGAAGCTTTCCATACACAACATGATGCCAGGCTTCCGATATTACAACAGTGACTACATTTCAAAAGTACTTTATTGGCTACAAAGTACAATTTATTTCATCAAATAGCTGAGAGTTTGGAAGCCTGCATCTGTCCTATGAAATTATTCATACACTGTCTGATATTTTGAGCTACATAGACTTGCAAGAGTTGTAATCCTAGGGGGAAGTCAGTGCTGGTACCTGTGTTCGAATGTGTACATATTGCCATGTCTCCTTATTATAGCAGTACTCTTTTACAGCTATATGAGACCAATAAATTTGTTGATATTGGGATCCTATCTTACCCAGGTTTCTTGTTTCTCTTAATGTTTTAATGTTTTTTTTTAACTCTGTGAGCATTCCAGCAGATGAATTCAGAGGCTGATGAGTGGAAATTGTCAGAGAATAGAAGGCAATAGTATTAAGATTCCAGGAAAGAAACCGGGGAGACAGTCAAAGCCTGAAGTTGCTAAACTCAATGCTTCAACCAGGGATCTGCAGAGTCTCAACAAGAGGATATTTTATATTTTATGGGATATTTTATGAGCTAACATACACAATATAAAAGCATTAGTGCATCTGTGGCTAGAGCACTGCAATCAGTTCTGGTCACCATATTACAGTAAGGGTGTGATCACACCAGAGACAATAGGGAAGAGAGTTTATGGGCATGTTGCTAGGCTAGGAAATGCAATATCTTCATTCAGATGGTAGTGGACATTTGGAACTCACGGCCTGAAAGGGTGGAAGAGTCTCAACAAGAGGATGAATCTTGTGTCGAGATTTTTTTTAGAACAGCACAACTGGAACAAAAAAAAGAAAACCCAAGGTGGAAAAAGGAGAAGGGTTGAAGTGACAAGTCTTAGGCAACTCAGGATCATATTGATAAACCAGAGACTTATGAAGCAGATATTCAAATCTGCACTAGGTACCTTCATTATAGAGGAAATTTCACTGTGAACAGTGCTAAAAGCATACAACCAGATTTGGTTTCTGTGAGAGTCGCTAAAATGACTGTCTGCACATCTGAACACTTTTCCCACAAAAAACAATAATTTCAATTATATGTGTGTTATATAATCCAAAAAGCACCTGCACTCTAAATCCAAATTACCTTTTAACCATGTGCCATCTAGTAACCATTCGAATAATTTGCTGTCACTCATTAATTTCCCTACAATGTCCCATACGTTGTTGTTGTTGATGTAGACGACCAACCTCCTGAGGAGAATATGCTTGGCATTAACATCACAATACATAATGTACTGCAATATTTCAATGCAGTACAGACCAAAGTGCTGCATTGCCAGAGGTACAAGTTAATAGAAAAGATCACTTATTCAAAGGAGAACAGGTGAATTATCCCAGTAAACACTTATTCCTCCACTAACACGACAAAATAGGTTTCCCGGTTATTTACCTCAATTGCTATTTTGGGATTTTGCTGTGTAGAAATTTGCTTGTCATAGTTTTTATATAGCAACCATGTCTATACATCAAATATTAATGTATTAACTATGAAATGTTTCTGAAATAATATAAACGAACAAAGGGATCTTGGAGTATATGTATTCAAATCCCTGAAGGCAGTGTGGTTAAAAAGCATATGGGAT